CGCGGTGAATTTGAGCGAGCTCCTCAAGGTATGGGAGGATTGCCGTACTTGAACCAAATCAGAGTTTGCATATGAGGGGTACCAAGCATCATGCGAGAAATCTAAAGAAGAAGGGTCTCGAGGTTCAATTTTTGAGTCTTGGTGATGCCAATATACGGATATTGATAAAATAGTCAAGAAACCTTTGCAGCGGTAGCAGAACTGGGATGGGAGAAAAGCTAACCTAACTTGCAGCGTGTGCGCTTTTTAATTTCTCTGGAAAAGATTAGTGGAAAACCACTACGTCACATGGATCTTGTTGGGTTTTGGGCTGCGGCTTGTTCGGAACCTCTCACGGACGATGCCGAGACAGACTAGCAGCCATTTTTACTCCGCTGATGCCCGGCCGCAACTGCCTGATGCCAGGAGCTGGCGCGTGCCATGAGGGCACTCGCGATCATCGTTCTCTCCTTCTATCAGTCGATGGGTCTCAGCTACCACTCCTTTATTGCCCCTTCCCTTCGGTAAAAAGTGAAGAAGAAAACGTCCTACTTCATTACATTAGCCCACGCAACTGTCCTGTCTACCCATGGCGACGGCCTCACTGCACGTGTCACACATGACCACGTGGCGGCGCTGTGCATCCACAACTCCTTGTGGGACCTCATGGGCTGCCGGACCTGGTAACTGCTGACTAGCACAGGGGTACTAACTCCACCACCGCCCAAACATGGAGGCGCACCACACTCACACAGGTTGACATTGTCATGTGTACTTGTCGTTTTTTACCAATGAAGCCATCTGTACCATTCACATATGGATGGCTGCCACTCCTTTGCCTAGTAGTCATCGAATGCTGGTGACCTCGGCAGCCATGGGATTGCGACGATCACATAAAAGTCTTGGCTGCCTGCGCCTTCGGCAGCCATTTTTTGGCTTTCACTGATGTAGGTACTACATCGGATTTCAGAGATGCACACCTCGACATCGTTGTAGTCCTAATCTGTGTCGTTGCTGAACCATCTGGTGTAGTTCCGTTTCGCTGAACAGCATTGTTTCTGACAAAGATGGTTTCTAGCATGGACCCAGCTCTGTCCTCCCGGGCTTTTCGGGCTTTTGCCGCACACTCCTCTCGACGTTTTCTAATTTCTCTGACTCGTTGTCCAAAACATTCGCAACAAATCTATCGTCCTCAGCAATCGCGGCACTGTCCACCTCATGTACGACCTTTGCGTTTGCGGCGGCCATGCCCTCTACCACGTCTCATTCACCATCTCGGGTCGCGCCTTCGACTTCCTCGTAGTACTCGACTTTGTCCACGCCCTCCTCGACATTAATGTATGCGCTCACTGCTGCTCCTTCTCAAGCATCAGTGCCGTCATCACCTCTTGGGTTCTCCTCGGCTCCCTATTCGTCAACAGCCGCCACTTCAGCATACCGGAGCTCCTGTGTCTCTTCTCTGCCGTCGTGGCAGTTAACATCCGTGTAACCAACGCTACCGCAATCATTTTCCGCGTATTTTCCATCGCCAACGCAATCGGCTGCATCCACATCACTTCGGTGACCAACGTGATTGCTCCATTTTTTTTACTTTTCCACCTTTCTTCTTCGTCTTCTGAACCCCCCTCCCCCCATTGTCGCCACTGGCTGCTCCTTGCGTGTCTGCGACGCCGTGTCGTCTCTGCAGAGCCTCTGCACACGATTTCCGCTGCTACGCCAACATCGGCGACGTCCCGCTCACCGGTCCTAGACTCACTGGTCTCTTTATCACATCCCTAGAACTCACCTCTATCCTCCACAATGATAGCCACGGCCAGAGGAGGCAGCTCAGCTCTCAGGCTCCCGAGGTGTCACTTGTACCTGCAGACGTCATTAGCATCCAGTGCCATAAAACCGCACGAGGCCAACTCGTCATGCGCGCTGTCTGCGCTAACCGCGACGTTAGCACTGGTGCATTGCTGCATCGTTGCGTGTTGAGACTTTTTTCGCAGCAGCGTCATCGAGGACCATGGCGTGCATGAACGGGTTGCCAAGGGGAGCGAAGTAGCCATCGAGGTGACTGTGCAGCCCAAAAACCAAGGTGGACGGTGAGGTGCGTGTGGTGTCGAGAGGAATGTTCGGAGGAATGTTCTGTCCATCCGTGCTTGCGTCCGTGATTCCTTCTACCCACCCGGGCCAACATCGGTGGGTCTATTCGTCGGTGCTTCCGCCGGTCCGACCATCCGTGCTTCCGTCCTACCGTGCATTTGTCCGGGTGTTCGTGCTTCTATCTTTCCATCCATGCGTCCGTCTGTCTGTCTGTCCGTGCGGCCTTCCTCCGTCGGCGCCGCATTCTCAATTCTGTCTGTCTGCTGACTGTCTGTCTGTCTGTCTGCGTTATCTGCGTCTGTCTGTATGTCTGTTCTATCTGCTGTCTGTTCGTCATGTCTTGTCTGTCTGTCTGTCTGTCTGTCTATGTGTGTATGTCTGTCTGCCATCTGCCGTATCCTTCTGCATGTCTCTGTCTGTGTCTCTGTCTGTCGTCTGTCTGTCTGTCGCTGTCTGTCTGTTGTCTGTCTGTCTGTCTGTCTGTCGTCTGTCTGTCTGTCATGCGTCTGTGCGTCCGTCTGTATGTCTGTCTGTTCTGTCTGTCTGTCTGTCTTCTGTCTGCTGCTGTCTGTCTGTCTGTCTGTCTGTCTGTCTGTCTGTCTGTTGGCCAATCCGTGTGTCAGTCCGTGCAATCCAAGACATCTGTTCTGTTTTGTCTGACTGTCAGTCCGTGAGTCCATTTGTCTGTCAGTCTGTATATCTGTCCGTCTGTGCATCTGTCCATCCGTCCTTCTGTCTGTCTGTCAGTCCATCCATCTAGTGAACACTCCAAGTACCACCATCTCGTTTATTTTCATCATATATTCAAGTTTCAAGTTTCCAAGTTTCAAGTTTTATTATTTCCAAAAACAAGGTACAAAATCTAATATATACATACGAAGGTCCCAGAGTCAGAGACTTTGGTGGGACCCTCGGTTTGTCGATAAAAATCGACGGTAAAATTTATACAGAGCAACAGAAAATTCCTACAATATACAACATCAAAAGGCACTTTTATATCACAAATCAAGACAAAACACGCAACATGGTATAAAAAAACGACGAACAAACTAGTCAAATAGGTAAATGATCACAAGTAAGGTTATTCGAGAAAATAATTTTTGACGGACTTTTTGAACAAAGGAATTGAAGTGCAATGCTTAATGCTAGAAGGTAACGCATTCCAAAAGGATGTCGCACTGAAAGTGGAAGTTTTTTGCCCATAATTAGTATGAGCGGGGGGTAATAGAAAATTTTTATCAGCCGCTAACCTCGTCACATTATTAGTCTGCAAAAGATCAGATGTAATAAATGGGAATGCGAGTTGATTATACAGCAGTTTGTGGAATAAGGTCACAAGACTTAACCGGAACAAAAGATTTACTGGCAAGATATTGTAAGAGCGTAGTAATGTGTAGGCGTTCGATTGCGAAGAACTAGAAGTGACAATGCGGATTGACTAATTTTGAATGTGCTGTATTGATGATAAATGACAAGCGTAAGTGTTGCCCCATGAGGCTACACCGTAAATAATATGACTATGAATGAACGCAAAATACAGCGCCAGTAGAGCTTCACGGGAAAACGAAGGGCGAGCATTGATTATTGCACGGATACCAAACGCCGTCTTCTGCTTAAGATGGTTAAAGTGACTGCGAAAGGTAAGGCATGGGTCAAAGTGTATGCCAAGAAAGACGACATCAGAACAAGTGAAAATCGAATGAATACCAATTTGTATTAAGAGAATAGCAGATAATGACCTCTGAGCACTTTTAAACACCATAAATGTAGTTTTTGTGGGGTTGATAACTAAGTGATTAGTGTTGCACCAATTCATAAGGGCACTTAATGCAAGATTGAACTTTGAAACAAGAGCATCAATGTTTTTATAAGATGAAGATATTGTTGTGTCATCAGCGTATAGAACACACTGACCACAATCAAAAGAGCTAAGAACATCAGGAAGATCATTCATATATAAAATAAATAGCAAAAGACCCAATACTGAGCCCTGCGGTGCTCCTTGGTTAACATATTTTGTTGTAGAGAAGGTATTTGCGGCATGTACTGTGTACTGTCGTTTCAAGTAGGTAATTTGTTAAGAATGCAAGCGCAGGGCCTTTTGTTCCATAGGACTGAAGTTTATGCAATAAGACTTGATGATTTACAGTGTCAAAGGCTTTAGTGAGATCTAAAAAAATCGAAGCAACTAAATTTCCCGAATCGATTCTTTTTTATGTAGTCAGTGAGAGACTGCACAGCTAGACTTGTTGACCTACCTGGACGGAAACCAAATTGGCTGTCTCCAAGCAATCTAAATTTAACTAGATATCCATTCAAACGTTCAACAAACAATTTCTTGGCTAGTTTGCTGAGGCAGGAAAGAATCAAAACTAAATGGTACTTGGAAACTGCTTGTTTATCGCCTTTTTTAAAAACTAGAATTACTTTAGCTTTTTTTAGGACTGCAGGAAATAAACCCGGTTTAAACGTAAGGCTGATAATATGACACAGCTTATCAAAAACTAAATGTGCAACCAGTTTTAAATGCCTTACACTAATGTCATCTAACCAAAGCCCTGTATTTTTAAGATTAGTTCATTATGTATCGCCTTCTAGCAGACATTCCAAGGACTAAACGGTATGTCGCTACCTACTACTACTACTACTACTACTACTACTACTACTACTACTACTACTACTACTACTACTACTACTACTACTACTACTACTACTACTACTACTACTACTACTACTACTACTACTACTACTACTACTACATACATCGGCACCGCACAACCCATTGCCAAGGAGCTCCGATCCCAAAAGTCAGTTTTTCGGCTGTCAAGGGATTCGGCCTAAGTAAGTGCAACAACATGAATTGCAGAACAGTTTGAATAAGTAGCCTCACAACGTTTTTATTGTCGTGAAACAGAAAATTTTGTTAATTACAGGCTATGCTACAAGATCGTCCCTTCGTATTGTACCAGCGGTCATTCGAACACGATGCTGGATTTTCCGGAGACCAGAAGTGTATCCAAGGCATTGTGCTTGAGTTCTACCCTGAAGAAAAATATGCCGTGGGCGTTTTACATTGGCTTCTGTCTGAGTACCACAAGTAAGCGACTGAAGTATTTTATAATAAGATCCGACAAAGATGTGTATTGAGACCAGTATTCGATCATTCCGGCAATTATAGGCGGCGCAACAGTAGGTCGAAATGGTGGGCGAGATGATGATGAGGCGATCTCGCAAGCGTGCGCGTCTGGACTAGCAAAGGACGTCAGGCCCTCTAGTTTCGCCGTGGACTGTACTTCTTATCGCTAAGCAGACGCAGACATGTTTGCAGGCAAAGCAATCGGTCACATCATTTGCCCTGCAGATCGTTATCACCATGTGTGAGCTTTGGAGGTGGGCCGCGTGGTGCCGCCGGCGTCGCTGTAATGACCGAATAGGTGACACTGCTATTACGCGTCAAGTCGTAGTTTTTAACCCCAATTGTTTTCATTACTTAAGTGATATGCGAAATAAGCTAAAAAAGAAGTCCATGATAATTTCCCTCAGCATGACAGCACTTCCTCACAAAGCTAAAAAAAGCTGCTTACGCAGTGAAAGGAACGTTTTTGTTACACGACAGAAGAGAAATCACTTTCTTGAATATCAAGAGGACACTTGTGAGAAAATTGAAATACTTGTGATAACACTGTGAAATCGTAATGAACATGTGGTATGTTCTTGCTTGTTTATTATGATTCTCAAATACACCTTGCCAGAGCTCTAAGGTATTCATTTTGTTTTCAGAATTTTTCTGCCATGATCTCTGCATTGTAGTTTAAAGAGCGTTTTATCTCAATTCCTGGAATGTGTAAAAGAAATAGCCGAAGTGACTTCTGTCCCCCAAAAACATACCCTTCAATATACTGTAAGTAACAAAAGCACTCTACAGTGCTTTGTACAGAAGCAGGAGCTTGCAGAAGCACTAAGATGAATACGGTCTAAGCAATAAAAGCTCAGAGAAAAAGAAACGTCGAAATGAGATACAGATGAAACTGGCCCATGGTCAGCGGAAGCATCAGTGTTTTTTTTTTTTTGTAGTATCAGTTAGTTCAGCTGCATCGTCACTTTTTTACAGTGCGATAAAAAGATTCTGCCAAAAAATTATTGCTAGGAACCAATTTTTTTGTCAAAAATTTCCTGCCATGAAAATGTTTCTCAAAATAGTTCGTTCCTCGTTCCAGCTAACATTCTTTTGCACGTTAAATCTACAGGTCAGCCATGGCACTTTGTGATAGGAAAGAGAGCAGAGAGGGAGAGAGAAGGAGCATGGGAAGGTAGAGAGCTTAACTAGACTACGTTCAATTAACTACCCAACACGTCGGGGAGACGAAGGTAAGGAAGTAGAAAATGAGAGAGAGGAATTGGACATTGCACACCAAACAAAGTGCAGGGTATCACAGGCAGAAGCTCAGTGATGTTGCCTTAAAGAATTGCCGAAGGGCTCGTGTGGCTTTCTTGGCAGATGTAGTGTGAGACCATGCACCCAGGATTTTTCCGGAGTAAAGGGACAACCATTCAGTCTCGTCAAAGCAATCAGAAAACTACGAAGAGAAAGCATGCATGCTTAAAGCTTTGGTTCATTATACAGAACGCTTGCAAGAGTTGAAAATACGTAACTGGCGCTTACAGAAGCGAACCGACGTTCGACAGCTCGTGATATTGCGGATTTTGTGTCCCCGCTCTTCCTTCGGTCTTCTTTATGCGACTGTGTTCACGATACTATTACATCCATTCTTTTTTTCTGTCTGGTGGACTTGACACTGGTGTTCCTGCTCTGCCAGTTGTGTTGACGTAACGGCAAAGGCGTGAAAAGTTCACTTGGGGATGTTTTCTTCATTAAAACTGTCAGAAAGCGTATCGCCAAAGAAATACCGAAACACGCACAATTTACATCTTGGCCTTGTTAGGGAGGATTTATCTGCTTGCACGAGTGCAATTATGATTGGGAGCCAAACTGTTCAAATGGGATTACACAAACATTCGATGGTGGCTGGTGACATCCGTATGAAATATGACCTGTGTGCGCAATTCGAAGTTGCATGTCATTGGGATTTGCATCGCTCGCAGTCTACGAGGCTCTATCTTTATGAGAACCTTCATAGCAAGTGAAGCATGTGTCGTGAGCCTGCTGCCTGCCTCACCTGTCCAAGTACATCACGAACTTTACATGGTGCTTCTATAAAGTGAACTGCATGTTTTTGCTGCGTCCGTGTCAGCACTCGCACCTTCTCTCGAAAAATTATGTGCTCTCAATAGTGTGTGCTTTTGAACAGCTATGATGATTTTCGCTTACAGAGTCAATGCAACCGCCTACCTTTTTTCGGAAACGACCGAAGGCTACAGAATTCCTAACGCGTATGCGCTGTCCCCAAACAGTGGTAAGTTGTGGTGGAACGTCGTCAATTAAAAAAATCTTGACCAAACATGACAAAGCATTGTTTCTCAACTCTTCTTTCCATGACTAGAGGAATGGCAAGCGCACTGAAACATGGCACCGCACTTTTAACTGCTATCGTAGACTGCTTCTACAGCACAGCTGGTTCAAGTAAGAAATAGCATACTTTACAGAAAGAACTGTCGTACCCAAAAAGCATGCAAAGACGAGGTGCTATACACTTCTGTACGGCGTCAAAAAAGATACCGCTTGTTATTTTTTGGGAGTGACAAGCGATTCTTCATTTATACTATCATTGACTTTAGCCGCTTTATAGGGGTCAAAGACATTTATGGAAAGCCCCCGGTAAATGGTTGCAGAGGCCCGAAGCTTGAGTAGGCCGAAAATTGCTGGCTTTCGGTGGCCTCCTCGGCTCACTGCATGGTCATGATTTCGTTGTGCTTGTTCGATCTGAGCAACACACACTCACAGGGTGCGCAAACGCTACCGTTTGTGATGACTATTATTGTGCAATAAACCTGGTTATTTTGATATAGGGTATTCTAAGATTACTTTGGAGGTTAAATCCTGAATTTTCTGTCGCGTATAAATCTGGGTTATAGATGCATAAAACCCCGACTGGTGCAGGATTGCGTTTGTATGTACTGCGAATTTAAAGCCTGAGCTTTGCTTATTATTGAGGGTAGTGGTACGAGTGTACGTCTCTGCATTGTATGGTGTGGTGATATTTCGTGAAATATGATCATGTAACCACCCACCCACTCCTGTTCCTCATTATTTATGTGATATCTGGTCCTTCCGTATTTGCATTCCTACTCCTAGGTAGCCGGTAAGGCGGAGAACCGAGGCTTAGTCTGTAAGCTCTCGGGCTACTGTCTTTTAGTTTGTGACTTGGTGTACTAAATATACTAACCTTTAACACGAAAAATTTTCATGTCGGGGCCAACCGCCGCTGCATGAAGCATTTACGTCCCGAATGTGATGTTGTAAAACATTTCCAAACACGACTGCAGAGAAAAAAATGGCCCCGTATCTGCATGTCAATGTGCAAATGTCGCCGAAAGAGGATAGTCTTGCGTGTGGAGAGAGTAAACAAGATATTTATTTGCATGTTCTGCGCAAGAAAATCTGTGAATGGTATTCTGGAGGCGCTGCGTTAGAGTGCCTCGAGCGTGCAGGGAAGGCGAACGATAGCTAAACTCACGTCACACGTGAGTCATGAGGGCCATCTGGTAGTTTTGTTAGAAAAGAAAGCGCGTGGCTTTGAGGCGGGTGTGCGCGCCCATCTCAGAGGTGATAAGGTGTAGAACGCAAGGAGACGCGTAGGTGCCACCACCGTCTCGTCTTAGCAAAGCGTTGGAAACACTCGTCTTTCCGTGCAAGCATTGCATGGTCAGGGTAGTGTGATAATTGGTACGGTCCTTAAAATTACCTATGTATGCCTTTTCTAGTGAAAAACGCACATGCAGAATACATACGTGTTGTTATGGTGCCTCAGACATGCGCAATGATTACTTTTTTATGACAATTGTACAAGCATGAACGTTCAATCATGAGCAACATTGGTGGGCACTGAGGATGAGGTCGGCCGTTTCAAGTACCCGATGCCGTTTAGAGTGAACAAACAGACAATCGTACAGACAGACAGACAGACAGACAGACAGACAGACAGACAGACAGACAGACAGACAGACAGACAGACAGACAGACAGACAGACAGACAGACAGACAGACGAAAATATTTGCGTCGAAGGTCCACAAGAAAGACTACCGTCCTTAAGAAGGCAGAAGAAAGTATTTCGCAACGGGGCGTCAAACTAGTGACCTCGCTCTCCTAAGCCCGCGTGGTAAGCACTAGACCACAAAACTACCTTTGGCGGAGAGCCCCGCCATGGTGGTCTAGTGGCTAAGGTACTCGGCTGCTGACCCGCAGGTCGCGGGTTCAGATCCCGGCTGCAGCGGCTGCATGTCCGATGGAAGCGGAAATGTTGTAGGCCTGTGTGCTCATATTTGTGTGCACGTAAAAAACCCCAGGTGGTCGAAATTTCCGGAGCCCTTCACTACGGCGTCTGTCATATTCATATGGTGGTTTTGGGACGTTAAACCCCACATATGAATCAATACCTTTGGCGGAGAGCGTACAAGCGACCCATTTATATACACCATAGACCGCTGGTGGTCGTCAGAGCTCAGAAAGGTCAGTGCGCTTTAGTAATCAGTAGCGAGATGGCATGGCAAGCACGCGTTGAGCGCACGCGCCTCCACATGGCGTGTTCGACGTGGTAAAAATGCGTGGAGATGCTCTATAGCGTGTTAGCTCACTGGCATGCCCGCTTATCTTGGAATACGGGTGCTTGGTATCTGTGGTGGTTCCACCGCAAGTTTGCTTTTAAGTTACAGTAGTTACCACGTGAACGTCAGTTTGCTCGCTGCCATGGCCGCGTTTACGAAAAAAGCGTGTTTTTCACACATGGAGTTAGAATCCTGACAGTTGTTTGTACACGCTAGTCCTAAGTATGTTAATTTCGAGCATGCTTCCTGTCTGAAATGTGCTCCGCAAGTTTCGAGATGCTCACCGTTATTCACATGCTATTGCAATTTGTTACTGCAGCATTGAGTCTTTGGCCTTGTGGCTAAACAATGCACAGTGAATGCTCAACCTCTGCGAGAACACGTTTAACTTCAGCGTTTTACCTATTCCGAAAAGGACATATCAATCATGTTTTTTTTCTTTGCTATTACATAGCTTTAGTGTTCGCAGTGCCTCTCGGAAGATCCAAATTTATGCGATATATCCTACCGCCGTCTCAGAGTGACTGAAGATTACTTCCACTTGTTTTGGGGATATAGATTGCGACAGTTCTTTCCACTGGCATTTATATGTGTGGATAGCTTGCGGCAGCACCCGCTGTACGTTTTCCTTCGCGATGTGGAGCCATGGATAAGAAGACACGCTTATATGTAGCTACGTCGACAAACGCGATGTATGTGTGGTTAATTAATTGCTCTTGCACATCTTGCGCTATACTTTTCCCTGCAGCCTAACGGTGGGTGTGATGCGATTCTTGAATGTACAAGAAACAATTATAATCCATGTGCTTCCGGAGAAGTGTACTTTGAGCCTATGTAATCAAGTGACCAAATATTTGATTTGTTCTGCTCCAGTACAATTACTCAAAAGCGATATTGTCTTTTGTTTCTGTGGTAACACAAAAGCACTCTGGAAGATATTGGATGCTGTCCCAAAATGCAACTGTCAGACTCTTGCTCTGTGCCTGATTTTCTTGCACTATTTCGCAGTAAAGCAAGCTTTTACATTTTGCGCAACTCGTACATGTTGTACCAATTTGACAAAATGGGAATGAAGCGTGTACCAAGTACTGGTACAGGTTGTACCAGTACTTCGAATCAATTGTCAATGTCCGTTTGTCTTTATCCGGTATTTAAACATTACCATTTACATGACCGTATAGCTATTCTGGAGTGTTTGGTCACTTCTTATGGAGCTTCTGAGTAACAGCATAGTGTTGCGCCGCGTGCATTCCTTTATTGCATTCGCCGTCAAATCTCCTCGAAAACATTTTCCAATATATGCCAAGAGAACTTGCTTCTCTTGGCATATATTGCAAAGGCAAAAAGAAGACATTCATAACAAAAGGCTGATTTGTATGTAAACTTGACCACGCATAAAAACCTCAGAGATGTAGCCCATGTGCGGTGGGGCAGTTCCTACAAGCTAGACCAAGGCTGAAAGCAGGAAGGCTCTTGACAGGGAAAAAACAATTGAGTTGAGGAGAATGTTGTGCACTCAGACGCAATCTGGAGTGAACAAAGTTTAAAGGCTCTACAGTTCCAATGCAGAAAGAAGGAAATGAAGAATAGTTCATAGCTTGGCGAGTTCGTTTAGAACAACGGGATGAAACTTTGTTATCGTGGTCTCTTATTTGGTACTTTTTCGCCAAAATATATGTAGGCTAACTAGCACAGCTAAGAAATATTAAGCGATGAGCCTCGGGAAAAGTTGGTTTCAGGTACCGCTGTGGTGATATTTATTACATGAAGCGCGTCGCTGATATGATGTTATCGCTTCGACTACCCGCAAAGTTATCCTCAATGTGAAACAACCTCATAGTAGGAAACCTGCCGCAAGCGCATCTGTAGTGCGTAAACCACCACGGTAGCCGCAGTTTCGATATGAACTAGAATGTTTTATACCCACCTGCAGTTATTAAACCCCAGTGGAGTCGAAGTTTTCGAAGCCCATCAATACGGCGTCTCATAATCATGTGGAGATCTTGAGACGTTAAACCGACATATAATATTACTGAATGAAATTTAAGTGATGGGTGTGTGTGTGTGTGTGCCTGGCTAGGCAACTACAGCGGTTTGATGGTCGAGATATCTGTTTAGTTTGTTCCACAAAAAAAATCACAGGACAAGTTTCTTCGAACCCTAATAGCAGCAACTTGAAAGTTACATGGTATAGATAGGGCGCTAGTTTATTGGAAGGCCTGAGTTGGCGCTCTCTGGTCTGCTACTCAGCTCACAAAGAAAAATAGAAATGGAGGAAAAGAGTAATGAAAATGATGGGTACAGTAAGAGGAGATGCGTATGTAAAATAAAAACATATAGCACTGTGGTAATCCTAAACATTTGTGTGAAACACTTAGGTGACGTCCCACAGGTCACCTAAGTACTTAGATGACTTCACACATATCTCACAGCATTTCACAGGTTTAGCTGCTACACACAACAGTGCTCTCACTTGTGATTTAGAAACATTATAAACTTTTGGGTGCTTTTATCTGTGTGGTGAATAGATTGCGGAGTCATGAAATTGAAAGAAGAAGAAAAGACAGAGATAGAAATGTTCTATTAAAACATTAGCCCCAAATCTGCATGTTACACTGCAAATGTCGTCGAAGGACGATAGTCTTGCGTCTGGGGAGAGTGAAAACATGTTTATTTGTTGTTCTGCGCAAGAAAATTGGTGAATGGTATTCTGGAGGCGCTGCGTTAGAGCGCCTCGAGTGTGAAGCGGAGGCGAAAGAGCGCATCGACGCACGTTAGACACGAGCGCCATCTGGCAGTTATGTTTTAAAGTGAAGGCATGCGCGTCCGAGGAGAAAGATGCGTGCCTGCCTCGGAGG